TTGTTGGGTTATGCATGTTTTTCTCACTGTAGATTAAAGGCGAGATAAAGGGATCCTCTCATGCCACCATGATGATGATGTCACTCCTGTAGTCTCTCTCGTAAGGAGCTAAAATCTAATGGTGTAAACAGATATTAGACAAATAAATACAGAAATTTAAGTGCCCAGGAAATTGAGGGGAGAGTATTTCTATGATTTAGTAAGGAGTTGGTCTAATGTATCTACCCCAAAATATCCCGGACAGCTCCTTAGTATGTCTTGACCATATTTCTCCTTATCAGTCAGTTAGTAGGAAAAAAAATCCAAATTGGAAGGGAAAAATGTTTTAACCATTTTGACCATTTTTAAGTGTACAGTTCTGTGGCATTAAGTACATTCACATTGCCATGTAGCCATCATCACCATTTTTAAAAATAATTTTGATCAGTTTTGCTGGGGAGCAAGTTCATGGAGCTCCTTATGCTGTCATGTCAGAAGTCTCTCTCCCCATAAATTAAATTTTTTATTTTCACTTACCATCATTTCATAAACATTTTGACATTACTACATAATCTTTATCTCTTTCAGTTCTATGATATTCTGTCCAGTAAATATCATAATTTACTTAAGTATTTCTCTATTATTATATGGTGAGATTATTATTTTTAATTTTTCACTATTATAGATAATCTACAGTGGGCATCTTGGTGGCAGTGGATGTTTTTTAGATTTCTTGGGGTTAAATTCCCATGTAAAATCAGTGATTTTAAGAGTATGCTGTTTTCCTATTTGAGAATAATACAATGTATGGTATAAATACTATTTACAGTAATAGTCATATTTCTTCATCTGAATATTAAAGTTGATAATTACTTATTAACAATATAAAGGATGTACTTATATTTTCTTTCTAATAAAAGGGAAACACTTTTCTACAGATAATCGTGTAATTATTTGAGTGATCAGAATCATGCTTTTCTTTTAACAGCTATTGAGAGATAAGCCTATTCTTGCTGAAGAAAATTTTTCAAAAAGGAAGCTATATTGTAGCCTTTTTGTAGCTTTTTTGTTTTCATCTAATTGTACCTTGAGTACTCTTGGAATGTGGTGCTGTTATTTTTAATTTCTGACCAATTATATTGATAGCACTTTGTATTATTGTTTCCATTGTAAATACAACAAATTATTATTTTTTTTCTTTTCTTTTTTTTTTTTTTTTTGCTGAGGAAGATTGGCCCTGAGCTAACAACTGTTGCCAATCTTCCTCTTTTTTTGCTTGAGAAAGATGGTCCCTGGGCTAACATCCATGCCAGTCTTCCTTTATTTTGTGTATGGGATGCCACCACAGCATTGCCTGATGAGCACTGCATAGGTCTGCGTCTGGGATCCGAACCCACGAACTCTGCACCGTCAAATTGGAGCATGTGAACTTAACCACTACACCACTGGGCCAGTCCCAATAAATTCTTATTTTTAGGGGGTAAAACCCTAATTACATCCTGTGCAAGTCATATTCAGATGGTATCTTTATTTTTAGGCATTGGTTGCTTAGGTCACTATAGTAATTAAAAAGGAACATTAGCTCTTTGATACCATGTCACATACTATATCAGTGGTTTAATAGTATATTTACCAGTGGAATTCTTTTTTTTCCCCAAGCAAAATCTTACGTGGAATATTATTATCTTGGACCTTGGGTGCTTAAAGAGTGAAGAGTTCTCTCCTCCTTCCCCAAGTGGAGCTAAGAGTCACCACTAAGCCACTGCCACATTACTAAGCTTCAAATTAAATGTTTCCAGAACCCATGAAGTATTCCAGTGTTCCTTTCATTTTGTAAATGTAGGATACCTAATGTGTACAAGGCACAATGTAGGTGCCGAGGATAAAGAATTTAACAAAAGAGAAAATTTCTCTAACCTCCCAGAAGTTACATTCTTGTTAGGGAAGACCAATAAGAAACAAACAAGTAAATATATGGTAAAAAATGCAGTGGAGAAACAATGAAAAAGTGTAAAAGCGATAGAGATTTTTGGAGGACAGTATGTAGGGTGATCAGGCAAGGCTTTACTGATGAGGTGACATTTAAGAGAGATCTGAAGGGAACGTGGGCCATGCAGATATCTGGAGGAAGAACATTTCAAGCAGAGGAAACAGCAAGTGAAAATGCAATAAGATGTGAACATACTTAACATGTTTAAGGAACAGCAAGACCTCGTATGTGGCTGAAGCATGTAAGTGAAGAGCAGGATGGGGAAAGGAGATGAGATCAGATAGGTAACTCTATAGGGCCTTGCAGGCCATCATAAGGACTTTGAATTTTACTCTGAGATGAATTTTACTCTGAGGTTTTTGAAATAGGAGTGATGTGATCTGACTTGAATTTTAATAGAATCACTCAAGAGGCTGTGTTAAACCAGACTATAGGAGGCAAGAGTGGGAGGGAGACCAATTAGGATGCTATTTCAGTAATCCAGTAAGAATCAGTAGTGCTTAGACCAGGGTGGTAGCAAGGGAGGTGCTAAGAAGTAATTCAGTCCTTTACATATTTTGAAAATTGGGCCAGTAGGATTTGCTCTTAGATTATATAATGGGGTGTGAGAAAGAAAGACGGGGGTCAGATGATTCCACGGCTTTTGCTCCCAGAGAGTGCTTCATGTTATAAAGTAATTATGCTTGTCTGTCTTCTTAAAATCTGTGTTCATTGAAGACAGGCTCACTATTATCCATTTTTGCATACTCTGTGCCTATCACAGGGCTGGACGTGTAGTAGGTCCATAGTAAATACTTGCTGAAGTGGCAGGGTAATACCTTACCCTTATCTGGATCTTCTCTAGTTCTTTTCTGTAGAGAATGATGTCCTAGTGATAAATTTTCTTATGTGCCCATTACATTTCAGTGCTAGGAATATACTGGCACTTTTTATCTTTCTCATTCTCCCCCTTTCTTTGTTTCTAGAGTCCCTTCTTATCAACATGTCTTTAACATATGTATGGGTAGCGGGTATTCGTATTTCTTGATTTGACTATGTTTAAGTATAATGTTGACTTAAATATATTTTTCTGTTGTCAGTGTATATTAGTTTTATTGGCCAGATTCTATGTTCTGGTTGTGTTTCATTATCTGAAAGGCTATATTACAAAAAAGTTATATCAGTTTACCACCATGAATAAATGGAAAATGCCCATTTTACTATATACCTATAGTACTATAATTACATTTTCCCCATCTTTAATGGGTAAAAACAGTTGTCATTGTTTTAATTTGTATTTTTCTGATGCCTGGTAAGGTTGAATATTTTTTCCGTTTGCCTGCTAGTTTGTATCTAATTTTATAAGTTAAGTTGTCTTCAGAAAACATTTGCTTTAACCATCAGTCAGTTCAGTTTATGTTTTGAGTACCTACTACTCCTACTGCATATTGGGCACTGAATTAGGTTCAAGGGGTATTACAGGAAATCATGTTATAGAGAGAGTTCAAACATATAACATGTGGCATAATAAAGATGGATATAATTTACTGTGGGATCGTGGGTGATAATATTAAGTACTCAATAAGCTTAATTACCATGTGACAGGCATTATTCTGAGTCGGTTTTTTTTCCTTAGTTAAGTCATTTAATAAACAACAACACTATGCAATAGGTACTCTGGTTATACTCATTTTTAAATATAAAGAAACTAAGGCACAAGGAGTTTAATTACTTGCCTGAAGTGAAAATACTAGTAAATGTGAAACCGGGATTAAACTCAGGAAGTCTGACTCCAAAGTCTATATTTTTTATTATTAACCTATAAATCAGTTTTTAAATATTGGATTCACAGAAGTGGTAGTACAGATTGTTCATTTGTATTACCACAGAAAGCTATGTTGAGACACTTTTTAAAATATTCATATCATATTCTATTCATTTATGATTAGCATATTTACTTTAATAATTATCCTGTTCAAGTGAATAGTTAATGCAAATGTGACTTTAGTCTCTTACTTTTTTATTGAACCATCTATCTCAAATTCTTTTTGCTTTAGATGTGTATGCCTTTTTTTCCCAACTGAAAGAAATGAAACTGTAAATAAATAAATTGACTTTAAAATTTTAGCCATTACTGAATTTTCAGCAAGGAAATTCTAGGTTTTCAATATAAGTAAAGATATGGGTAAGTAATAAACATGTCAAAGTATCTCTTAAACTATTGTACTACATTTAAGTATAAAATTTGCTGCAAGACACAAATCTCAGTTTTGTCAACTTTTTTTATGAGACTCTGGGGTGTGATGATATGTATTTTACTTGGATGAGAAATAGTGGTATTATGTTTACAGTTAAAGAATTGGAATGGAAATGATGTATGATAAAATATAAAAATGCCATAAGCACTTAAGTCCTTGGTATTTTTGTACCAATGTAAGTCTTGGGTAAAATTTCACCTCACTGTCCAGAAGTTGACATGTCTGATCACTATTTAGCAAAGTCACAATCCTTTACTTACATATACACATACACATAATTGTCATGAAATAGGAACATACACTAATATTTGTGGCTAGACCATAGAACAGTTTTTGGCATATAATAGGCATTCAGTAAATATTTGTTCGGTGAATGATTAAATGCCTTCTTTGTCTTGGTTTTTATCTGATCAGTATCAACTTGTTAATAAGGATGATGAAAACCTGGCCCTTTACAGATTTAAATAAAAGCAAGCTTCGCGAGCATAATGCAACTTAATCATATTCTTTTGATGGTTTTAAAGGATTCTAATCAAGGAAATCTTTTAAGAAATTCAAATGTAGATGAAAAACTTTTTAAAAGTACCTTTGCTATTCGATATCTGTTGGAAGGAAATTGGTGGTGAATTTATTTGTAATGCAATGAATTACCCCTTGATTAAAAAAAATGTATGTTTTGCTATGCAAATAGAATATATATAACCAGTTTTTAAATGATGAGCAAGGAAGAAAATCTGTTACTACTGCAGAACAGTATATCAAGTCTCTTTTTTCTTTTCTTGTTAAATTTTCAGGTGAAGGGAAGTGGCTCCGAAACATTGACTATTACCGTTTAGATGGTTCTACTACTGCACAATCAAGGAAAAAATGGGCTGAAGAATTTAATGATGAAACTAATGTGAGGTAGGAAATACTTCCTGTATGTATAGAAAATTTTCTTAAAATTATTTTAAAATCTCTATGCAGTAAAATTCACTTTTTTTGGTAACTAATGCAAGATACAATCAAGATATAAAATAGTTTCATCATCCCTCAAGAAATTCACTCATGAAATCATAAAATTTGTAGCTTTTTGAGTCTCACTTCTTTCACTTAGCAAAATGCATTTGAGATTTATCCATATTGCTGTATATGTCAATAGTTTGTTCCTTTTTATTGTTGAGTAGTATTCCGTTGTGTGGATGTATCACAGTGTAGCCAGTTCCACTTGAGAGATATTTGAGTTGTTTCCAGGATTTGGAATTAAAATTGAAACTGCTCTAAACATTGATGTATAAGGTTTTGTGTGACCCTTACATATTTACCCAAGTGAAATGAAAATCCAGGAGTGCAGTTGCTGGGTTGTATGGTAAGTTTACATTTAGCTTTGTAAGAAATTGCCAAACAGTTTTCCACAGCACTTGTATAATTTTGCATTCCTGCCAGCAGTGCGTCAGAGTTCCAGTTGCTCTGCATCCTTGTCGCCATTTGATATTATTGTTTTTTAAAAAATTATTTTACCCATTCTAATAGGTATGTAATGGTATCTCATGTGAGTTTAATTTGCATTTCCCTAATGATAATTGATGTTGAGCATCTTTTCATGTGTTTATTGGCCATTTTTATATCATCTTTGGTGACAAATATGTTAGAGGATTTTAAAGTTAACAGAGTATTCCTGATATATTTATCTGTTGTAGAAATTTGAATCATACTTTAAACCATTTAGGTATAGGATGTGTTGTTGATGTTGTTTTTAACTAAGCAATTAACAGACTTGAACTGCATTTGGAAGAGAAAAATTTATATACATACATATAAACATATGCACACACACATTCACATGTGTGAAAGCATGACTTTTAAGAAAAAGATGAAGAGATGGGGTTAGTTTAATGGCAAGATGACTGAGGTAGGGGCCGGCCCCGTGGCTTAGCGGTTAAGTGTGTGCGCTCCGTTGCTGGCGGCCCGGGTTCGGATCCCGGGTGTGCACCGATGCACCGCTTCTCCGGCTATGCTGAGACCGCGTCCCACATACAACAACTAGAAGGATGTGCGGCTATGACATACAACTATCTACTGGGGCTTTGGGGGAAAAATAATAAATAAAATTATAAAAAAAAAAAAAAGATGACTGAGGTATACCCTAATAAATGTTTTAAAAGTATGAAAGATATTATACTGTGTGTGTAAAACATGTTTGAATTCTAGCAGAGTCCTAAACTACACCTAGGGTTAAGGCTAGAGAAATTCCAGTTAGACCACAGAAGAGTTAATTCTGTTAGGTATTTAAAATCTGTAGAGTCTGGGAGACCTTACAAAGGAATGGTTTGAGTACAGTAAAGTTAAAAAAGCATATAATTAAATAGTTTTTTAAAGAATGAGTACATTTTTATATTGTTTGCCATGTTTTTAAAAATTATTATTTGTGCATGAGTGTGAAGAAGTAATTTTATTGAGTAACCCTAGCCTTACTTGTCAAACTTAATCTAAATCTTTGACTTGCTCAGTTTCCCAAACTGATGAGTATCAAAATAGCATATGATTTGTCCCATAACATCCATATTTGATGACCAGTAGGAAACAACATTGAAACGTGGATGCTGAATTGTCAGCTTGGCTTACTCACTAGGAAATTAACCCCCCTCAACATATGCCAAAAAGTGTCTCTGATTCAAATTCATCTTCTAGATATATATACATATCATGGATTTGAGAAGTTATTCTAGAGTAGCTAAACCTGTCCAGATCAAATCCACAAATGTTAGAGATTATGTCTATCTATATTCTTTTTCTCATGACTCAGTAATTTTCAGAAAAGAGAATGTAAATATAATTGTTTATGGTAAAGCAGTTGGAAAGGCACATTAAGATAAACTTTAAGGGGGCCGGGCCCAGTGGCGCAAGCGGTTAAGTGCATGCGCTCCTCTGTGGCGGCCTGGGGTTCACTGGTTCGGATCCCGGGCGCACACCGACACACCACTTGTCAAGCCATGCTGTGGCAGCGTCCCATATAAAGTGGAGGAAGATGAGCATGGATGTTAGCCCAGGGCCAGTCTTCCGCAGCAAAAAAAAAAAAAGAGGAGGATTGGCAAAGTGGAGGAAGATGAGCATGGATGTTAGCCCAGGGCCAGTCTTCCGCAGCAAAAAAACAAAACAAAACAAAACAAACAAAAAGAGGAGGATTGGCAGATGTTAACTCAGGGCTGATCTTCCTCACAAAAAAAAAAAGATAAACTTTAAGATAATAACTGTTTCTAATATTGTCTTATGTGGACAGAAAGTAGGTTTTAATAGTCTCAGGGTCTCTGGTTAGCGTGATACTGTTTTTTTCTTAACTTTTTATTTAGAAATAATTATAGATTCACAGGAACTTGCAAAGATAGTATAGAGAGGTCCTGTGAACCCTTCACCTAATTTTCCCTAATAGTTACATCTTACATACCTGTAATACCAAAACCAAGAAATTGACACTGTTTCAGTGCATGTGTATGTGTGTCTTTTTATCACATATGTAGAGGGTCTGGTAACCACCACTGTATTCAAGGTATAGGAATATTCCATCACCACAGAGATTGCTCTCTTACTACCATTTTATTGTCATACCCATCCTTACCACTACCCTCACCACTATCCCTAACTCCTGGCAATAACTAATTTGTTCTTCATCTTTATAATTTTGTCGTATCAAGACTGTTATATAAATGATATCATACTGTATGTGATCTTTTGAGATTGGCTTTTTTCACTCAGCGTAATGCCCCTGAGTTCCATCCAAGTGGTTGTGTATATCAATAGTTTGTTCCTTTTTATTACAGAATAGTGTGTATTCCATGGTATGGATGTACCAGTTTGTTTAATACAAACTTATACAGCTACTGCAGGGCATTTTGGTTGTTTCCAAGTTTGGCTATTACAAATAAAGCTGCTATGAACATTGTGTACAGGTTTTTGTGTACCTAAGTTTTCATTTTTCTAGGATAAATGCCCAGGAGTGTGATTGCTAGGTTGTGTGATAAGTGACTATTTAGTTTTTTAAGAAACTGCCGAACTGTTTTCCAGAGTGGCTGCACCATTTTACATTCCCACTAGTAAAGTGTGAGAGATCAAGTTTCTCTGCATCTTCACCAGCATTTGGTGTTATCACTATTTTTTATTTTAGCTGTTCTGATAGGTGTGTAGTGGTATCTCATTATGGTCTTAATTTGCATTTCCTTGGTGGCTGGTTATGTTGAACAATCTTTTCATGCATTTATTTGTCGTCTGTATATCCTCTTTGGTGAAATGTTTCTTCATGTCTTTTGCCCATTTTCTCATTGGATGCTTGCCTTTTTATTGCTAAGTTTTGAAAATTTTTTATATAATTTAGATGAGTAATTTGTCAGATATGTGGTTTGCAGATATTTCCTGCCAGTGTATGGCTTGTCTTTTTAACCCCTTCACAAGGTCTTTCACAGAGCAAAACTATTTAATTTTGATGAAATCTAGTTTGTCAATGATTTCTTCTTTTTTCATGCTTTTCGTGTCAAATCCAAGAGCTCTTCTTCAAGCCCTAGGCCCTGAAAATTTTCTCCTGTGTTATCTTCTAAAAGTTCTATAGTTTTATATTTTATGTTTAAGTCCGAGTGCATTTTGAATAAGTTTTTGTATAAGATGTGAGATTTAGGTCGTGTTCTTTTTTTTTTTTTTTTTTGCCTATGGATGTACAATTGCTCCATCACCATTTGTTGAAAAAGCCATCCTTCTTGCACCAAATTACTTTTGCACTTTTGTGAAAAATCAGTTGGCTATACTTGTGTGCGACTATTTCTTGGTTCACTGTTCTATTCCATTGGGCCATATATCTGTCCCTCTGTCATTACCACATAGTCTTGATTATTATAACTATATAGTAAGCCTTAATATCAGGTCTAGTGATATCTCCCACTTTATTCTACTTTTCCCAAGTTGTTTTAGCTAATCTAATATCTTTGCCTTTATATATAAATTTTTAGAATACTCTATATCTATAAAAATCTTGCAAGGATTTTAATAGGAATTGCATTAAACCTGTTATCAATTTGGGGAGAATTAATATCTTTGCTATATTGAGTCTCTTGTGAACACTGTATCTCTATTTATGTAGATCTTTGATTTCTTTCATCATCGTCTTTTGTAGTTTTCAGCACATATGTCCTGTATATGTTTTGTTAGATTTACACCTAAGTATTTCAATTTTTTTTGAGTGATTGTAAATGATAATGTATTTTTAATTTTGGTTTTCACATGTTCATTGCTAGTATGTAGAAATGGAGTTGATTTTTGTGTTGATCTTTTACCTGTGATCTTGCTGAACTCACTTATTTGTTCTAGGAGTTTGTTTTGTAGATTCCTTGAGATTTTCTACTAGACTATTATGTCATCTGCAAGTAAGGATAGTTTCATTTCTTCCTTTCTGATCTATATGCTGTTTATTTCCTTTCCTTGCTTTATTGCACTAGCTAGAACTTCAATGATATGTTGAAGAGCAGTGATGAGAGTGGACATCCTTGCCTTCTTGATCTTAAGAGAAGAGCATTCAGTGTTGATTAACTATGATGTTAGCTGTAGATTTTTCATAGATACTCTATCAAGTTGAGGAAGTTCCCCTCTATTCCTAGTTTGCTGAGAGTTTTTATTATGAATGGGTGTTTAATTTTGTCTGATGCTTTTTCTGCCTCATTTAATATCATCTGTTTTTTTTCTTGAGCCTGTTAACATGGTAAATTACGTAGATTTATGTTCAAATATTGAACCAGCCTTGCATCCCTGGAATAAACCCCACTTGGTCATGGTGTATAATTCTTTTTATATAGTACTGGGTTCTATCTGCTAATATTTTGTTGAGGGATATTTATGAGATATTGGTCTGTATCCACTTGTTTTTGTACTGTCTTTGTCTGATT